CCCTTTTTTGAATGACTTGATTTTTTTGCTCCTCATAGAATAATATTCACCACGATATCAGTAACTTATGGGTTGGCAATAAAAAATATTGCAGTAGAGAATCTTTTCAATGGAAAAAATACTCAGTCAAGCTTTAGGACTTTATGATTGCCATCAATTACTCTTTCTCTGTAGTTGTGAGAACCTTTCAGTCAGACTGCTTATAAACCAAATAAACCGCCGCGGGTATATCAAGTGAAAATAAAGAAACAAAGAAAATTCTTGATTGAAATATGTCATGAACAGGAAACCATGCCAGTTTAAATATTGTYAGCACTGTTGGTTGAATGCCTACTTTTGTGTTAGTTATTCTGGGCCCTTTATCTCTTTCCTTCCCAAACGGAAAGACCATCATATTGTCTGGAGTTCCAAGAATGACATTCTGCCGTTTCGTTGTTTGGACATTACATTTGGTGACGTAAATTGTTTAAGGCTRTTAAGGGACTGCGCAATATTTATCAGTAGTGGGGATCAGTAGGGGAGGGGTGGGGGGATCTAATCTTATGTGCTTGAAGCATGTTGAAGAGAAGGGGCAACGTCTAACATTAAGGGACTGTTCAATAATTACCAGGAGGGGAGGGAGAGGGGGGCGTAAAACCAGATTTCTYAAGAAGAAAATTAGTTAGAACCYCCCCTCCRAAGCACAAGGAAATAGCTCTTACCCACCCCCCACGGCCCATGCTATATTAGAAGTAACGTCGAATTTAGATTTCCATTAGTCAGGCGCATAGCGTGGACTTAATTTTATGCACATGTCAGGGACCACGACATATATTTTGGATCTTGCGGTCTAACGAACGCCAAAGGCGGCAGTATTAAGGGAGTCTAGTCCTCCCCCAGAAAAGTTTGATTTTTTTTCAAAATTTGAAAGAAATAACTCTTGAAAATGCGATTTCCAGCATTTTCAAAATTATGAAAATTTTGAATAAAACTTAAGGCTAGCCTGCGTGCAGCCGAACCAAAACTAAGTTTTGGTTCGGCTGCACGCAGGCTACTTAAGGCCCCCCCTCTGTTAATTAGGTTGTAACCATCTGTGTGCTACTTTCAACTTCCTATGCGCCCTTTCTCGATCTCATAGCTGTCTCCTTTGTCTCCTTGCACGGACTGGAATACACAAGCGAGCAAACAAAGCAGTATTGGTGTATTTTAGTCCCGGGAGGGGGGACTCCATAATATCAAAGGGAGGGGGTCCTCGGCGTCCCTTTTAGGGTTTGAAATCAGTATTTTGGTCCCGCTTAGGGTGATCATGACAAGAATTCCTACCAACTGAGTTTTGTGGTCCCTTTTAGGGTATACGGCGACCCTAAGCAGTCATAAAATGGCAACGTCGTCATAAACTCAATACGAGCCGATGGTGCTCGATGATTGTGTAAAAACACAAATAAAATCGGTAAACCAAAACAAAATGACCTGTTATTGATTGGTCCCTTTTAGGGTTGAAATTTCAGCACTGTTACGCCCATCATCTCACAATAGAGGTCCCTTTTAGGGGTCATTTTCACAATCTCCGCCGAGGACCCCCGCCCTTTGATATTAGGGAGTCCCCCCCCCCGGGATTTTAGTGCCACTATTAACCCCTTGCTCTACTCATGGCGGATGAGTGAATTAAGAAACGCTATGAAAACTGTAATAAGACAGTTAATTCACTAAAGACGAACCCAGATGCAAGAGGTGGCTTACTCATCTGGATCTAAGTGTTAAGACAAAAACTTTCAGGAGGAGCTGACAAGCAAATGTGGTGCCCTTGTTTCTTTCAAATAATTTTGTTCCTGGCAAAGGTTTTCAAGGTCCAAAATAGGTTTTTATGATCAAAAACGACTTTGATATTACTTGTGCTTGTAATGTCTAATAAATCATCAATAATTTTGAATAAAACTTAAGGCCCCCCTCTCTGTTAATTAGGTAATTTTACTTTGAGCCCCCCACTATCTTGCCATCAATTTTATGTAATGTCCCCCCCCTCCCTCTGGTTTTACGGCCTCCCCTCCTGGTAATTATTGCACAGTCCCTAACTARAACTTTWATTGGAAACTGAAAAATCAACGGTGTCAAATGYTGTGATTTTGGAAAACTTTTCAAGAAAAGCGTGGCACGATTTAATTTGCCACTACTCTTTATTCACGAATAATGAATGAATAAATCCACGGAGGGAGGGGGGGGGGACGTATGTTATTTCGTTTGCGAGGAGGGGTAGTAGATAGTAATTAACTTTTTTGATTTTTTGGCACCCACCCTCCAGATAAATATTGCGCAGTCCCTAATCATTGAAACTGACTACTGCGYAGGCTACTACTACTGACTGACAATGATATATAGTCCTATAGATGTGTGGATTAATCAACAAGCAGCCATACGGCCTGGGGGGGGGGGAGGGTTTGGTGCTAATCGACCTTCATGGCAGCATGGGTGTTGAATTGCGAAAGACGCAGCTCGACGCGCTCTCAAGTCGAAGTGCTATATTACAGACACATTTTACAGACACTTACACATAGGCGTGCTGCCAGCTAGGCGCTTCCTTTACATAGCAACGAACGACTGAACGCGGAGCACAGCAGACAGAAATGGTTTGTTTTTACTGAGGGAGGAAAACTCGGAAAGACCCGGAAAAGCCCTCGACGCAAGGGAGAGAACGAAAGAAACTCAAATCACATATGGCGCCCCGACCGAGATTCGAACAGGTCCACAGAGGTGACAGGCCAGCGCTCTCACCGCAGTCGGCCACCCGCCATGCGACCTGAGCCATCAAGTTTATAATTATTTAAATTCAGGAAAGCTTTGTGACGTCCAGATTAGAGACTTCCGCAGAACTGAGCAGTTTTTCAAGTGTATCATTTTAAAGCAATAAAAAACAGCCTAGTGACTCACTATTAAACTCAGCGCCTACGTGCAAATCAAAMACGTCGACAGAATGGCATATCAAACTTGCCTGTATGGTACAAGTTTATATACTTTTCCACAATCGTATCACTATTCATTAGTCGGATTACTGATAACTACAGCAATAACTTCCGGATGCTTTAATTTTCTGGTCATTCTTTCCATTTGGAGAACTCCTTCACTTCATAAGCCATCTTTTATCGTTGTTGCTACTCTTGCCRTGGGGGACTTTCTGTCAAGTATAGTCGGGGAGTCACTGTTCGCAGCTACTCAAATTTTGATAATCTCAAACCAAGACGGACAGTGGAATCACTCCGCGTGTACCCTGTCTTTAGCCAACAAGGCAGTTGGATACGTTCTTGGCGGGATATCTGTATCAACATTGGTAGTGATGAGCGTTGACCGATTGTTGGCTGTGACAATGAAGACGAAATATAAAAACCACAAATTGATTTCGAGATRCTACGCAAAATTCTTATCCGTGTGTTGGGTCGGGTTTGTTTGTTTTGCCTTGTATAGTTGTGTTGGTTTTAGTCTAGGGAAACAACAAAGGATATATTTCGTTGTTTGTATACTTCTTGCACTCGCACTCTGTTGCATCGTTACGTGTTATTCAGTCGCCTACTGCAAGCTAGCAAGATTAGCCAGGGTAGTGGCCCCGAATAATCCAAATAACGAACAATTAAACTTACAAAAATACCGAAAATCTTTGAAAACGTTTGTAATTGCGTGTGCATTTGTGCTAATATGCTACGCGCCTTTTCTCTTAGCTTCATTTTTCGTTGGTTTATATGGAGCGGTAGGGAAAAGCGAGCGAACTTTGACAATTACTGTTTTCAGCAATATATCAGAACTACTGGCCTATGGCAGTGGTACCATAAAYCCACTGTTATACACATGGCGAATACAAGAACTAAGAAAGGCAACTAAGAATGTTACTAAGAGATTATTCCGTGGGGATTGCGCATCCAAAGTTGACAATGATGCTTAGTTTGTAATTCACAATCTAACACTGGGTAGTGACACTTTGTAGTGACGCAAAAAACCGTGAAATAGATGTTGCACTAGTATATCCAATACTCTCTAGTTGCATTCTTTTTGCTATCGACTATCATGTTTTGTTTCACGGATTTGTTGACTCCATTCTAACGTTGAGCACTATTAAGTGGTAAATAATGTATATAATAGAGTACAAATTTAACATTAAATGTGCGCAACACTATTTACTACAAAATAGTGCTACTTATAAAAAAATAGAAAATAGAATTAGCATAATTTAGCAGTATCTAGTGGTATTTATGTTGCGCAGTTTTAGTGTTTGTATTCTAATTTGACAAAAATTGACATTTTCTCTACTTCTTTATGTTTTGCGCACATTTCAGTGTTCATGCTTTGACTACAGTTCACTGTAGATTCTTGCATGCATTAAATCAAGTTTCTTTCCCACTGTTAAGAGGCTTTTGCAGTGTAGTGGATTTTGGACTAATAAATCAAGTGTCTTTGTCACTCTTAAAAGTCCATGAGACTTTCAATAATAAGTTGTTTCACTTTCAATTAGATTRCAAATAATTCCAAGGTTAATGCTTTTAAATTTCAATCTGAACCTMAGAAATTTAAGAAGCAATAAAGACCATTAAACAGCGGCACAGCAAAGAACTCTTTTTAATTTCCCAAACACGATGGTGGACGTCTGACTGATATAATAGCAAAATGTAAACAAACACGTACTGTCTTACAACTATATGAGAGGGTACATCACAAAAGGGGTCTTGTGTCTAGCGGGAAAATCCAGTCTTCCAAAAGAGGCAATTAATTCACTGGCTGCATCAAAAGGATCYCCTCCTTTTGTGCKGTCCCTTMTCTAAAGAAGCGAATCAATGGCTTATATYTAGACGCAACCTAAATTTCCATTATATATCCCAATATTAACCTGTATTTTGACTAGATTTTGGCACTAAAGTTGAATTGATATTGGATGCATTGAGTGCTCGTACAGTAAAAATATTACACTTGAACATGTCAGTGACACTGCATTCTTTATTGAATGGATTCCTATTTTGTTAAGAGTGTCTTAAATCATAAAAAAACACATTTCCTATGCCTTTGCTAATCTGCTATCGGATGTTCTTCATATCACTGAAGTCAAGTCTTTTCCGTGGCTTACCATTCTCACMATACTCGATCCATTTAAAAATGCCACAATAGGTACTAAGAGTCCTCAAAGAAAATTACTCGGTCCACTGACAAAGACTTTTTAAGCCAGTGCAAACGCATCTTCATTAAACAACATTCAATATTCCTTCGATTTTATTAAATGCTTAACACGTTTTTACAGGCTTTCTAGGTAGCTTGCTTGCATCAGGGGCTTCGATAATAGGCGTTTTGAGGTTCGATTGGTTAAGTCTATGAAAGTCAAACATGCGCGAGTTTCACCTATCGTGCCCGTTCACATTAAAGTCAATTTTAACAATCTTTGTATCTTTTCAAACGGGATAAGAATGATGGAAAATGATGGAATTCACTAAAAGAAACAATTTGTATAATTTTGGCTCAAGGGGACAAACTTGTCATAYTTCCTCATTGTTTCAGTTCAGCTTCATCTGGATGACAAAACAAAGGATTTTTGCCCTCTTGGGAACTACAATCCATGGCTTTGTCCTCCAGTTGGAGTTGCATTTCCATGAGCTTYAAGGACTCTACATTGTATTGCTTCAAGCCTAATTGCAACCTAATGAATATAGCTTTCAAAAAAACAGCTGATTTTGAAAATTTGTATGAATTTAAACTATATGTCTTGTTCATCATTCTTGTTGTCATTATTATCCTCGTCTTCTGAGTCTGATTCATCTGAGAACTGCATCGGAGGGGGGCGATTGGTATTCACAAACAGGTCGTCATCACAGTCTTCATCACTTTCACTGTCTGATGGCAGCTCATTTTGCAGCTTTGGTGAGCTGTTACATGTTAAAAAATTCACAAAATAATAAACAATTTAGTAAATTAAAGCAGCTGGGAAAAAAGTAAGGAATATGTATGTGGTAAAGCCAATGTGAAGGAACATGGCTCTAAAGAAGGAAAAAAAAGAAAATAGTGAATGAAAGTTGGAGAAATGAAACAGAAATGGGAAGAAAATGCAATATCAAATTATATTAAAACATGCAAAAGAAAAAAATCAATTACAAACCTATTAGATTTTTTATCATCAATTTCTTCATGCCTTATTGCTGACTTTTCAGTAAATGCCTCAGGCCTGATGAAAAAAAATGTATACACTCTCTGAGTTGACTGGTTGATAGCAGACTGTTTTTTGCTTGGTGTGTTTTTAACTATTTTATTAATCAAGGTGGATGGAATAATGCCTGTGATGTAAACACATACCAAAGCTTTTCTTCTTTAAGATATTTMACTTGCTTTGAATACAAAATATGAACAATTTCAGCACAGACTTTGTTTCCTTCTTCAATKGGTTCAACTATGACAAAGTCACCTGGAAAAAGAAAATTATCAATAACATTGTTGATGGGAAAGGGATACTAAAACCGTTGCCTCAACTGCTGTGATGCAGTAATTTAAATGGTAGTGGAAAGTAGCTTAAAGAAGCTGCATGTTATCCAGTGGATTAGCACTATTCACTTTTTGTGCAGATGGCCACAGAAAAACATTTAGTTCCTCTCGTACAATGCTGACCAGGTGATTTGTATYAACACCGGTCAGGGAGTACAGTAATTAGGGGAATTGTATCAAATGAATTTTGCAGTCATTACCTCTTTTTATCCAGACATTTCTTCGRAACTTTGATGGCATGCTCACAAGGAAATGTTTCCCTTCTGCGTTCTCAACTTCATGGAGGTTATTCCCACGGCCAGCTAAAACCTTAAGAACAATAATGTACTTTAATMTAAAATATCATATGTCCCCGCATTTTTTTCACGGTTGCCCTCTTTATATAGGTAAATATGTGTAGTTAAAGGCGCTGGTAGATTGGAATTKTAGGCTATATTTTGTATATTTTTCCTTGGATCATTACATAAATGTAAGAATCAATTGAAATCGAAAGTCTCCTATAAAATACAGATATTGATTTTTGCTATTTTATATCTTTCACTGTTCCTTCGAACCATCATAGACAAAAATTCGATTAAAGTATGAAAATACACCAAACGCTGACCAACGCTAAGAAAAATACCTTAACAATCTCCTGATTTTCATCGGGCACAACATAATCATCCAGAACTTCTTTGGTCACATGCTTCCTCTTYGTGGCCTTGGACATCTTGCTAACTTATTTGATCGGCAAAAAGCCTACGATTGCTAAAAACAATCGTAAAACTTGCAAGTTATACGCACAGCTAATGCCTTCCCATAATTACACCTCCATTTTGCAATTATCTGTTCAAATYTCTATAATATAAGTGAAAAAATATGAAGAAGTTCTTGATGAAATGTATGAAAGAACGTTAGCCATGTTGCAATATGAAAAGCGCGGAGGACTGGACAGAGTTGTYAYGGGGYTCCTGTGTCATAAATCACAATACCCATAATACATTGAAAGGCGGGAAATTGGAAATAAATTTTCGTAGATTTTATTTACACGAAGGAGGAAAGCTTGAAATGGCTTGGGATTCTGTGGAAATTGGACTTGCAGGAGGCGAAGAAACAGTAAATTTTGGTCCTAGGAATGAGACAGGGTCGTCTTTATATCAAGTTGACACTCTAGCAAGCATTTCGCCCAGTGAAAAGGTAAAGAAATGACAGTTGTTTTGTCAAGAAAATTCTTCTTGGAATGTTTCCTGCTTTATGCAATCTGTACTGTTCTATAAGTTTTCTCAGTTAATTGATAGCGCTACGTWTAAGATTCATGTAAGAAATGCCATGTGTGCGTCCGTCATGTGTACTATGAAAAAATATTAAACTTAAAGCTTTTGTATAGTTTTATCTCAAGTAACTTAATTTAAGCTTAAGCTTAAGTTAAAATGCATAATAAAGCTAATTCTCATATAGCGCAACTCGCGTTCATTCAGTTCTATTAAAGTTTTTCAAGTTGTTTTTTTTCCAAAGAGCAAGTCAGCTGTTTCAGTATTTTGTACATTTTGTACAAAACTTATGTTAGCTTGGGTCTTAATTAACACACTCATTTAAGTAAAATATTCCTTCAAATTTGCAATTAACTTTTGATACAGACTATTACAGAATTATTTGTTTTGTGTATGTATGGTCTGTAAGCTGTTGCCCCCCGGGGGGTACTCGAATCCCTGACCCTGTTTAAGACACTAAAAAGTAAAAATCCATACCCTGTTCAAGACAAATCGCCGAAAAAATAAGGAATAGCTATCTACGCCGCAACCATCAAAACTGCAATTATACTGACATCCATCAAAGACAATAAGAAGTTTTTGATAACACGTTAATTCTGGGACAGTGAAACGGTATTTCTACTATTTTCTACGGTGTTACGAAAATATTACCCTGTCCAAGACACGCAAAAAAATTATATCGGTCTCTTTTATCTAAATTGTAGAGCCTATTTAAGACAATTTCGGGTGAAATGTATACCCTGTTTAAGACAGCAAGGCCAAAAACCATACCCTGGCCAGCGGCACGTCCCTGTATAGCAAATATATGGGAGTACCCACCCCCCTCCCCCCCTCCCTCCCGGGCTGTTGCTATTTAACTTAGAATGTTAGCTATTATCTTATAAGTCATATTTATAAGATTGTCAAAGGTGGACAGCAAGTGGCATGCAGACTGTATTTCATTGATCACCACCTTCAGTATTAGCCTCCTCCCTAAGCAACTCTTTTTTTCTCCTTTGGGCTTCCTTTGTAACGGTCATCTTGGTCACTAGGGACTATAAATAATTGACGAGAAACATGCCTCCCCCTCTCTTGCCTCCCTTCTCCCTCTTTTGATTCCCCAAAAAGACAGGAAGCCCATGATTCTTAGTGATCTGCAGAGTAGGCTACTTCAGTATGTGACCGAGTAGGGTAAGCAGGAGCCTTCTATGGTAACAAAGCGAGGTTTGCCTGTCAATCTTAATGATAATCAAAAATCATAATCATTGCAATAAAAAAAGATCAATAGAACTAATCGGCTAAACCAATGCTATGTATGTTATCACCCAATCCAAATCCTGTGGAACAATAGCTTGCTGTGAAATAAAAATACAATGAACAATGAAACTTACTCCCAGGGGGTTTGAATTGGGAGGATACGTTTATAAATAGAAACATATTAACCCTATTAGGTCTATTATGACTTGTCACCTTCCAATTCATGGTGGCTTCTTGATATTATGCTGGATCATGCCTTTTGTTCCAGCAATATTTAAAAAGGTTTATTCTTTACCTGACATTCTCTTTCTTATAAATTATTGAAGGATAATACTAAGGCATTGACTTTAACTCAGTTAGCCTTATCGCTAGCCTTAATATTCATAGGTACAAGGGCTTCCACTCATCTACAGTGCCAGCTCACAAGATGGATTCTGTATGGCTTTGTCAAAGCAAGTGCTGCTGTTTAACTCAAGCTGTACAGTTCACCATGCTACACTAAACTTTGGTTAGTGGGTGAACACTAAGTTGTTAAATAGAGTTATTCTTTACTTCATTTGTACTGTGATACATGTATATCCCAATAAAAATAGTGACTAATTGTTAAGAACTTGTTTTTATTTCACGGATTAAATAAAATTGCTCTACTAATCCAAAATAGATATTATTTCTGTTTTCCTTGTAAAATTTTAAAATAGTAGTCAAATCCATGATGACACCTACGTCACCAAAATGACTCTTAATTATATAATGTTTACCTTTAGATTCAGATGTTGATAGAGTAGCTCTCAGTCACTATTCAACATTCGCAGCCATTGGTGATCGGTAAGCATGTAAAATGTATAAAATTGTATTTTGTCTACTGTATAAATTGATTGTTCATAAATTGAGCTGGAATTCTTAATAACAGTTCTTGGATTTATTAGATGATAATTAATATTTTTTATAACTAATGCTCTATTTTGTACTCCATTCTTTTTTATTTTAAAAGGTGTGGAAACTTGAACTTCCTACATGTAGCAACAAAGCAGATTCTATTCTCACAGGTAAGATTTAATATATTCAAACAAACTTTGCTGTGACCTAAAAACTTGACCACTATCCTATGAGTGGTGTCTGTTAGTTGGGGTTCCAATGTGTATGGACTGAGTGGTCTGGTTGGAGAAAGGTCTGCTCAGAGTATGCACATGGTAGTACAACTGTAAATTGAGATCCTGAGTTGGCTACTTACCCCATAAATAATTTTAAATTATTGAATAATTAATACCGTTTATTGGAGAATCTTAGAATAACTTTTGCTATTTTGTACATTCTCTACGTTTTATTTACCAGTTATCTAATCTCAAATATGTYATGACATTCTTTTTCCAGCAACTTGTCCAGCCATTGGACAATAATGGTTTGATATTCCTGGATATCACATTTACACCTCCCAGCAATGACAATGGTAACTCAATATCATATACTTATTGTGTAGTTATTTATATTTATATTTTCCTTGAGATGTACATCTTGACATCAATGACCCCTCCCCCCCTTTTTGGTTTTGTCTCTGAAGTTTCAGGCTGTTTTTCACATAACAAGCAATTATAGGTATTTATCAGATAGGTCTTTTATCATACTCCAGTGACAGTGCATGCACCTCATATGCTCTTCCAAAACCATCAGCCATTGTTGATTCTTTCATCAGTTCCAGAAAACACTTCACCAAAAAAAAAAAAAAAAAAAAAAAAAAAAAAAAAAAAAAAAAAAAAAAAAAAAAAAAAAAATTACCATTGATCTGATTTATCAAATCTTTTTCCAGGAACAGAGAGTCTTGTTATCTTGACATCCTCAGGATTATTGTTTGAATTTTCCTGCTTAAAACTTGAGGAGTTTCAGGAAGGTGAATATTCTGTCTTCACTTTTAAAATCATTGCTGGCATAGCATTCCACCTTGATATGGCAAATTATTATAAATTATAGCTTCAAGATAAAGCAATGTTGTAATTAAATATTGACTTTGTTTGTCATGATAATCCCATTGCCTGCTTTTCTACTATGGAAGACTGGTTACAAGTCCTTTTAATCTCAAAGGGCACTTTAAATGTGATCTAGCTACAAGCTGAAAATCATGATTTTACTCTAGACCATTAATTATAATTAAAAGTCATTTCTAAGAGACTAGCACTTGTTTCTACTTTGTTTAACAGCTGTCAATTCCCAGGACTTTGAACAAGTCAAACAGGTTCGCAATGCACTAATGATTGACGTTGAGTTTTAATGCACTGTGCATATTTATACGTACATGTTTAATAAAAAAAATTAAAAATTATTGTACTTCAATTTCATAAGAATAAGACTAGTATTCATAAGACTATTCACTTGTCAGCTCTGAAAAGTATTTTTAGAGCTTTGTTATTTTTTCATTTTAGTTAAAGCAGTCAATTGTCACCAAATGTAGCAGTGTTGAAGGTGGACATGATGAAGTATTGACTGGACTTGCAACATTGGCTCATGATGGRTCAAATGAATTTATCACTTATGTAAGACATATTATTAGAAGAACACTGTAAGAAGGATGTGTCTGTATTTAGTCTTAATTTTATAAAAAAAATGTCTATTTTTTTAAAATTATACTAATAATAATAAAGTACATGATTGTACTTCCTTCCAATTCAGTGCAATCTCCATCAATTTCCACCACCTTTTCAAATCAAAATAATAGGTTGAGACTTAGTTGATTCCTTTTCAGGGAAAGAGTTCCAGTTTGGCTYTCTGGGGAACTAATCCATTTGATGTGAAAGGCGGTGGTGATATTGTCTTGCTTGACAAAATAGAGTCCTTGATGCTAGGTACAGTGAATGCAGATCATGCTGMAAAATATATCTGGTTCTTCAAAAGGCCATTTTAGAGGCAAATCTTTTGTCTACAATTTGGCTCATCAATACCAATAGCAACAATATACTACTAAGCATTTTTAAAAGGTTTTAATCAACATGTCACTAACTACATGTACATCRTAACAAAATTAGCACTGAGAATATTTTAAACATAACACAATTTAACAATTAAACAAGTTTTCCCAGACAATCAGAGAGCATTCTCATTGTACAAAGACATGTTCAGTACATTTCTTTCTAGTTAATAATCTTTCGAGTGACGAAATAAAGTCTGTTTAGTAAATGTCAATAAAGTTGATCAATCTATTCATATCATGATGATTAAAAGGTATTGAGATTTTCTTCATCATTTTAGGGTCAGAGGTGATCAAAGCTTGTCCAACCAGTGATAACAACTTTCTTGTTGTGTTGGATGAACAGGTAGACCATTGCATATAATATAATGGTAATATAATTATTAGTATTGTGCAGTTGCTGCATGCATTTTATTTTTGACAGCACATGTTAAGCCTATGGGATATATCATCACTGACAATGGTTGCCTTTTGGCATTTCCTTGCGGTTGATGACTTTCTTTTGGTCAGCACTAGTGATGTTAAAACCAACACAGCCAGGTAGGTTAATATTGATGGGTAAAAGTTGACCAATGTGAAGTGAATGAAAAAAATCCAACAACTTGATGAATACTCTTTGTACGAAACGTATCCCCAGTTGTCTCTCGTGCTGTTTTTCTTGTTTCCCATAAGGCTTCATGATCATGGGAAGTAAAAAGAGATGCCTTTGGCATGAGAGATTGGAGAGAACAGCTGAGGACGAGTCAGTCAATTACAGCTACCCCCTTCCCACCATACCAAAAGTAAAAAAGAAAATAGAAAAAAATACTAGGAAAAGAACACTAATAAGGGTATGTCACTTTGTTCATTATAGTTCTGAAGAGGAGCACAAGATTATTATTTTAACTAAACCAGCAAACTCTCAGGTACAGTACTAGTGATCATCATATGGCAAATCCCACAGAAGAAATCTTGTGATTTTTAGTTTCATTCATTTGAGAACTTTCATTTTGTGAAAGAAATATGCCAAATTGGGAAAATGAATTTTAATGCTTTTTGGGTTTTCCTAGTGGAATTTGAAATTTTGCCTGTCTTCTTCATCTAGGAAAAGCGTTTTCTTCAAGTGTACACCCTACCAACAATGAAACAGACTTACTCCTTACAGGTCTCCAACACATGCTTCCTTGCTCACATTACAAGCAATCAGGTCAGGGTTATTGACTATTATAAGAACAGCTATTGAACCAATGGGAAATTAGCCTACAGCAGCTGCTGCGAGAGAATTCTTGCAAACTCTCTTGGAGCGACTACGAATGCCTGGCTACCACTAGGCTAATGGGAATCATGTAAGCTTACCTGATGGGCTACAAATGTCAGGCGCATTATTACCATGACTCTGATTCTCATTGTACTTTGCTGATTTCTCCCATGTAAAAAATGGGATAATTATATTAGGAATTTATCAGCTGTTGAAGAAATCCAGAGTACTGTGTAATAATGCATTAGAATATATTAGAGACATTTTTCCACTCACTTAATCAATTTGTTGACTTTTTTACAGGAAACCATCTATTTTACRGAGGCAGTGCAAAAGTAAGCCTAAATGTTCAAGTGGAAATATGCAGTACTTTTATGGGAAATGGTCATTTTTCAGCAAATGATATATCTCAGTCATTTTATTTACTGTGAGTCAAATGTTGGGTTTTAGATTTGATGATGATAATGAAGACGACACTGTGACACTGAGGATTAGATGTCTAACTGAAGCTTTGCCAGAAAATAGGTATAATGGTGTTATGACGCTTGGTGGATTGGCTGAGAGGCTGGCAAGATATCAAAAAGATAAATTGATAAATTATTGCTAATGAATGGTGACTTGTTGCTCCAACCTATAACTTGGTTTTTAGGATGTCAATGTCACTAAAATTAAAATGGAAGCATGAATAATGCAATCCTTTGCATCTTAAACTGCTTCTTCTATCTCCTTTTTTTGGGTGATAGTCAGGCTACAGTGTAGATCATTACACTGGAAATTAAGTTTGAATATAATGTCTGAACACAACCTTTTTTTGATTTGATTTGATTTTGATCTGTTGACTAGTCCTTTTTTTGAGTCTTACCATCTAGTGATAGATTGAATCCAATAAATTGTGTGTTAATTTATAAATTGAGGCATATTATTATATTTTTTTCTTAAAAGGTTTTACAGACTTTTACACAAACATCAGTTTGATGCTGCAGAGAAATTTGCCAAGCAATTCAAATTAGACACTGAGGTAATTTTTTTGAAAACTGTCACACTGTTACATATTGCATATTCCAATAGACTAGTCTAAGATCATCATAGTAATTTCATTTGCAACATAAGCATGATGGCCTATATATTGCCAGTAAAGACTGAGTCAAATTTTGGATCYACAGGYCAGCGTTCAAGTAGACTAAACTATCATGATGGTTCCTTATAGTCAAAAGACACAATACTGAGATGTATTGCTGATGTCTTTTACACCATACATGGAATTGGTCATGATAGATGTAATGACAATACAAATATTTTATTCTTTTCCTTCAGATTCCGCATTTAAAACAATTTAATCCCAATGTAAAAAAACCTTTATAATCCTTCAAGTCAATCCAAATTGTGGCTTCAATCACATGACAGATAATGTGATGTGTGTTTTACACATA